AAACACACCCATCATCCTGGTTCACCAATAAAGCGTTGACACTATCTTCATGAGCCACAAAGGAATCTACACATTTTTTGTCAGAAACCCTCCAAACTTTAACTGTTTTGTCATATGATCCAGTGTATAAAAGTCCTTCTGCATGATAATAAGCCATGCAAGAAACACAATCCTTGTGTTGTTGTGTGTTAGGTCTGGGAAACATAAGAAATGAGCTTCTTTTAGGTAATGTAAGGACCTTTTTGGCTCTGAAATTATCTGAAACTGCGAAGTTCCAAATTCGAATTTTAAGGTCTTTATGTGCAGAGAAAAGAATATTACCATAAGCTAAAATGGCTCTTATCTCACCAGAACTCGCCTTAAGATAACCTCTTTCCATGCAATCCGGCTGCTTCCATGCACGAATACGGTTACTTTCAGAGCCGGTGAAGACTATTCCTTTTGAGACAGCAATAGAGTATATATTACCTTCATGTCGATGAAGCGAGGCTATGCAATGGTAGAGAAGAGAAGGTGATGGGGTATGATGAGGAGAGAGTGTCCACGGTGATTCTGGGCTAGATGGTGGCAATAGGGTAAGCTTGCTGGAATGAGTGGTAGAAGGCCTTGGAGGGCTAAACTGAAGCTCCTGGTCATTCATTTCTTGATAGGCCGCCATGTTAGCTGAAGTTTGAATAGGTGCATTCACCCTTCCATTAAATTGAATAGGCGCATTCTTGATAGGCCTTGGAGGGCTAAATTGAAGCTCTTGGTCATTCAGTTCTTGCGGTGCATTTCTCTCTTCAGTTATGAAGCTAAAGAGAGATTTCCTGCCATAGAAATCCATGGCAAAGAGTGTTTTCAAGAGGGATGGAATTGGTTATCAGACTTGGAGGCAGGGAGTTCTAGCTAAAGATTTAAGGACATGAGCTTGTGTATTTATGAAGATAGTGAAGTGGGTTTGACAACAAGTTTGTTCCCTCTCTTTCTCTTTATATGGAACCATTCACAGACAATTATAAGCAATTACAGGGAGCACTCACATCTATAAATTAAGTTCTAAATCAATAACGAGCTGGAGGACAGGACACTTCCTTTAATCAATCCAACAACCTGTTCCCGCTGTAATTTGAATGCTGCCAACATGCTTGCTTTAAATTGTATATCCGATAACGTTTTGAGTATTATCAACAACTGCAATTTTTTTAATTATATTTATATAACAGGAGAGGCCAGCTTATTTTTATTTTGCAGCTCAAAATCTGTTGAGCCTGCAACAAAGAAAAAAAAGGCATTGCAGGTGCTCAACGTATTATCTAATCGTTTTAACACGTTTTGTTATTTCCCAAGACATTGCTTTAAATTATTTATAAATAGATTTATTTATTGAATTCAACTCGTAGAGAGTTTCATATATTATAATTAAATTTATCTCTTTGATTTAAAAAAATTAAAAACAATTGCTAACTATTAAATCAAATTAGGATCGCACAAGCACTCAAAATTTATTGATTAATAAAAAGAAATATAAAATAGTAGCTATGGCTGTGGGAAATGGTCATGGGCGTAAATAAGACTGTTGAGATCATTAAATAGTGGGCCTTTACATTGGTTACACATTTATTAGCACATAATTTTGGTATTTATTTCGGTGAAACTATTAGGTAGGGGATGGATACATATATAGTGCGATTAGAATTTCTAAATTTGGATATTTGATTGAGATACATGTATATTTAGTTATTTGAAAGAATTTTTTTATTCAGTATTATAATATATTTGTTTTAGTTTTTCTATTTAAAATAAATAGTTTTTCTTATTTTATTTTATCTTCTATTCAGTATTATTAAGAACCTTTGTCATTCTTGGGCTTGCTGTTTGTCTTGGCACTTTTGGCTGCGTTGTCTGCCTAATTGCCTAGACTCAGCCTGCTCCTCGTTGGCACCTTTAGCCCTCTGGAGTTTCCCTTATTCATACAATTAATTAGTTATTGGCTTATAAAAAAAAAAAAACTCTAATTAAGCAAATCGTCCACGATCACAGGTTCCATTTCCAGATAATTCTATTAACACCATTGTTTAATGTCTGTACAGCAGCAGCTAGGTGATAAATAGAGAAATAAAACGAAGGGCAATTTAAGGCGGTGGTTGTGGTTGTTTGCATGGGAATTGTTCGAGCAGAAAACAAAAGGGGGAGGGCTCGCTGGTGGTGGTGAGTAAAGTGATAGATTTGGGAATGGGAAAACTGAATTCCAGCCTTTAGCTGTTTTGATATCCATGGAAATGATCCAGTGGAGTGTAGTTACAAAGCAGTTGAGCTCACTGATGATGGTGGGAGAGCTTGTAATAAAATTTTAAATATATCAAACAAAAAGGCCAGTGTTAGGGCTTGAAAGTAAGAGTAAAGAGAGAGACACTATTTTATGTCCTCAAACCCAAACTAGTATCTTTCTACAAAGGAACATTGTATTTAAACAAAATTGTTAAATCAATAATCAAATTGAAACAATCCCAAATTTTCCATTTAAAAGATAATTTGATATACAAGTTTTCTGAAAATATCATTAGACATAGATATGACAAGGACAAATGGACAAGTTTAAGAGATATGGAGGGGAGGCAAATGTCTAAAAAAAAACTTTTAAACCCTAAAAATAATGAGAGCTACTATGGTTTTTTTTTTTTAAAAAGAAAGTTAACAGGAAATTTAACTTCATTTGACTGGGTAAACCAATCCAATTCTTTATTGTTGACACAGAACAAACTAATTTCAACATATATATATGGAGGGTTCATAAAAAGACCTGCTCGTTGTATTTTTTCTGTTTCCCTTCGGGCGTTTCTAGCTTTTGCCAATGGCCAGAAAAACTACACGAGGCAGTATCATAAGGCCCAGTATCTAGCCCTGGACCAAATCTGACAAGCCATGTTAAAAAGTGAGCGAAGATCTAAAGATTAATGAAGCCCAGCAAACCGTCGAAGGCAAAAATGGAAACAAAATAAAATAAAAAAACAGATTGATCATGACGTTTGCGATTACGACCTCAGTTTATTATATGGTTCTTTATTGTTCATGTACTTATTAACATATTTACAACTTGAATGAGATAAGTTGATGGTTTAATCTTGTCTTGGGATCAATATTGTTTTGTTTCTGTTTTTATCCAAAAAAAACTATTTGAAGAATGGATATATTTTTAACATATTTAATTAAAAATATAAAATTAAAAAATTAGAAATAAGATAATAATTTTTTTATCTAAACTTCATAATATATTAAATCGATGTAAGACAGGCGTGTGATACAGGTTTGATATTGCTTTCAAGTTTAATATACTTGGCATTATCTATTCATTATCTTTAAATATATATGTATTTAATGAGATATCAAATTTAATTTATTTGAGATTAACTATTTATTAAGTTCAAATATATATAAGTTTGACAAGATATTAAACCCATCATTATTTATATTCTTATTTTACAAAATATTTATTACATATAATAACAAAGAACAAAGAACACTCTTGTTAAAACTTATTCTCTTATTTATTGTAATTTTTTTATTAAAAATTATTGATTTTATTATTAAAAATTTACTAAATCTCATAAAAAATGTTTTGTACATTGCGGATTTATCAAACTTTAGAAAAAGGAATATTAATATAAACATGAGATTATTTCCTATTCAAATATTTAAAAATTTTATTCTTAAACATATTAAATTTTAAAATATAATCACTTTTGTTAGTCAACAATGGATACAAATTAAAAGCAAATCCATGCACCTAAAATTGGTTATAAAACCTGTCCACTGGTTGGCGTTGAGTTTCTTTTTAAGTCGACTTTTTTTATTTGAATTAAGCCTTCAAATTAATTGATCCATTCTGGGTCGGAAAAAAAATAAAAAGAAAGTATAATTAGTTGACTTTACAGGCTGCAAGAATAGCTAATAAGTAACCGTTGAAAATCCTTAAATAGAAGGATCATGACAAATTTACAGGGCTGCATAGAGATATACTTAGATGATATAGATGAAAAAAAAAAATGGTTAAACTATTTTTTTTCCCTGTCAGATATTTTAAAATCCTTGTTAGAACTGGACCCTACAATTTTTTGCATTTTTCTTCACTGTTGTTTCGAGTTTTTAGCTACGATTAATGAAAATATTGATTACTTTTCCTAAATATTGAACCTTATTCAATAAGTAATTATTTAAGTTTTTCCACAATTAATGGCAATATTGGTTATTTTTCCTAATTATACTTTAATAAATTATTAATTTTTATTACACTTATACCACTTTTTTTTAAATAAAGTGAGTATGGTGGAAATACAAATTAATAAAAGTTATTTTTTATTCTCAAAATTTTTTAAAAGTTATTCTGCTATATACAAAACTATACATATAAGGCTTAGAACTTGTTTCTTCTTAGATTTTAATGCTGCATTATTTTGTTGCATTATATGTATGCATTGACCCGTTCTATTGTATCATATTTAACATTCTATAAGAAAATGAGTTTTCAACTGAGAAATAATAATAAAAAATAATTTACAAGTACTTGTCAATAGAAATTTTTTATAACAATGTTTTTGTACATTTCGTCATATTACTCTTGTTTTTGGCTAAATGGAAGGAATATTTGCATGTATTATTGCTCCAACTAGAGGTCTAGATAGTAATTCATGAAAATAATAAGTTATAATTAAATTCATACATTAATCTTAACTCTATAAAAAATAATGCTTATTGACTCCTAAAATTTTGTCTACAAAACTGTGAGATTCCAAGAACAAATTAATGCCAATTAACGATTGCAGGAATATGAAATTCAGAACTTTTGCGCTGTTTCACATCAATGATGATAGGCATGAACGAAATTTTTAAATTTCTTGATTTAACATAATTAGCAAACAGCTAAACGTGACAGTGTCATCACCAAGGTTTCATGTCATCAAATAACATGAAAGCTATTAGAAACGAGTGACAATTTACAAATTAAGCTGCTAAGATCAAAATCACACATTTGATGCTTGTCTTTCGTACTCTAATTGTCGTAAGTTTCTTTCTCGACCGGCAAACCATTGTATTGTTCGCCGTGATATTGGCAGCCAAAGCATCCTGATCCTCTCATCTTTTCCTCCATTCCTTGGGGATGCAGATTCTTTCATTTTTTTCTTTGCACTTAGCTGTCTGAACCTTGAAAAAATTGTGATCTCAGACATTGACCTCTTCCCCACAGGATTAAGCATATTTGACGAATTTAAGCTTGAGCTTGGAACAGAATTACTTCTGTCAACAGCAGCAAACTGGGGCTCGAACAATCTCTTTCTTTCTGTATCATCCTTAACCTTCTCTAAATTTTCAACCCTGGACAAGCCATTGTAGAATCTAGCACTACTTGATTTCATAGGAGAAAATCTATTGCTTGACATGACTCCAAGCATCTCAGTGTTCAGGGACAACAAATCTGAAGAATTAGCATCGCTCCATCGACTCTTGATAAGAACATCTGAAATGGTGATCTTGTGCATGAATTTATGAAAAAGTTTCTTGTTATCATCAGCGTTACCACCTGCTTGAACCAGCAACTCTTCCTTTTTGCTGTTGTCATTGCTAATTTGAAAGCTGCTTCCTGGGTTAAAACATGATGAAACTTGACGATCATGCTCTCTTTCGACAAAGATCTCAAGATTAGGATCCTCTGCTAGATTTGAAGGATTTTGCATGTGCCTCCAACTGCTTGAGTAAGTGAAGCTCTTGACATCGTTAGGATCTATCTTGTATCTGCAAAGAGGACAGCTAGAGTGACTCTTTAGCCATTGGTCTATGCAGTTCTCGTGAAATGCATGCTTGCACTTAGGCAACAGTCTGAGGACATCAGAATCTTCAAATTTTGATATGCAAACTGCACATTCTAGGCCTTCTTTTGAGCCCTTAAGTGAGGAAAACCTGAAAAAGGGCATGGAATTGATCACTTCTTCGCCAATCCCAGAAAACCTAGAACTTGATCGAATAAGTCCATGAAAATTCTGGCGATGGAGATAACGGCCTAAGAAATTATTTTGGTTTCTCCCGCAGAACTTTGCGTAGGCAAGTACGAAAAATGTTATAAACAGCATAGTCAAGACGATTCCGAGGATTAGTGGAAGGCCTCGATGGACTGGTTTGAGGGTAGCTGAATCCGAACGGGAAGTGATTTGGGCTTTGACATGGAAGAAGAGGGTAAGACTTATGATGAGAAGTAATCGATTCATAGAGATAGCAACACTCTATGCTGTCCAAGTTTCTGTATATAATGACAATTTGAAAGAACCAAGAAAATCCTCTAATTTATATAAGCAAAGGAATGGAGACTTTTGATCAAGTAAAGGTGTATGTTGAATACAACCTAAAGCTGAAAGCATTAAGGAAATTAAAACATAGTTCAAAATAAAAATAATAAATTCAAAAAATCCTATGAAAATAACAAAATTTCCCAAAAATCAACTTCTAGACCTAATTTTCAAATACAGCAATTCAATAAGCGATTGAATAATATATTATAGGAAAATTGCTCATAAAATCACCTAGAAAAAATTAAGATTGATCTAATAGTAAGATCTTTTATTATTTCTATTTTAATATGCTAACTTAGTCTAGTGTGACTCAACCTCTTTTTAAATCTAAATTTATCTCACTAATTTATAAAAATACATGTTAGGCTATCCATATAATTTATTTAGGCTAAATTTTTATTTAATTATGTTACATCTTTACTTGAATATTAAGAACCTCTAATTTTCACTGTCCGGATTATATTGATTTTGTTGAGGAGTGTGTGAGCAAGAGTATTGGTGACTTATTCTCTTTTCTTTTAAAAATACAACAAATTTTAAGTGTTGAAATTCTCCTTCTAAGTAAGAGTAAATTTTTTATGCTCATATTAAACTGATTTTCGATCATTTTTAATAAAAAAATATAGCAATAGATGTCACTTCAGATTTGACTCACATGAAATATGCCAAAGCAAAGCGTGTACAATGATCATTGAAGATAATAAAATACTTGTGTATATCCAGCTCTAGGGAATGGGAGAGGGTCTCTAAACGTCACAATGTATCGAATCAAGAGGAGCATCAATCTTCAAAGCACTATAGGAAATAGGTAATGTAGCCCATTTTGCAAGAGAACAACATTGACAAATAGTATTAAAGAAAATAGTTCTCACATTCATCTTAGTAGAAATATATTTGAATAAAGCAAGCATTCCAAACATTGAGGGTGAGAGCGGCCGAGATGAAGATATATAAAAATGGTGCCACAAATTTACTTCCTAAAAAAATTATCTGATGTTGATGGAGATAAGAAGCAATTTGATGGGAGCTTCTTGTTTATTGTGTCTGATGTTAATATGAATAGCCGTCCTTGTTTTTTGCCCCTTGCCCACCACTTTTCCAGGTTGTAGATCCTGGATAACACCGAAAGGACCAAAAGCAAATAAAAAATTACATTCAACAAGTTAACCAACTGAGATTAGATTGACAAGTAATTTAAGAACATAAAGAGTATGAGAAAAATTAGAGCTATTGAAAGATGTTCCATAAATATTTTTAAAAAATTTAAATTTTTTTATTTTTTATTTCAAATTAATATTTTTATATTATTTTAATATATTAATGTCAAAAATAATTTTTTTAAATTAAAAAAATATTATATTAATATATTTTTAAATAAAAAAATACTTTAAAAAATAACTATATTTGTTTTTCCAAGCGCACTTTTAAAATTACTTTAGATACCAACTCATGCAATTAGAAACAGCTGAATAAACCTATCAAGTTGTGGCTCAGTGGTTGTTGGGGCAATTCTCCTTTCTTTAAATTTTGGTTCGAGTCCCAATGAAAGTGGGGCTGGAGGGTTATTCCCTTCGTGTCTCTACTGGTTTCTCTCTGTGTGGTACGTCTGTCATCCCTGCGGTGCCTTACTTACTCATTAGGTTTGTAGGATATTCAGTGGGCTATGGGATTAATCGTGATACGTGTAAACTGACCTGAACACCCATATTAATAAAAAAGAAGAAAAAAGAAACGGCTGAATAATGAACAAAGATTAATGAGAAATTGATTTCTTACCTCTGATGCCAGAAGTAGGGATAATAGCAGAATCATTTATTGTACATCATTGCGAGAAAGGACCATGTGATTGGTTTAACTGGCTGTCCTTAATTTTGGGAGTCCAATGTGCTTAAAGTATAAAAACTCGCAGTCCAATAATATTATCGTAAAATGTTAGCACGAACAACTTCAAATTCTGGCGTAGCTTCATAAGAAATTCCATAGCTCTCTGGCTTTCATGGGTTTCTCAAAGGTTGTGAGAGAAGGAACACACAAGCACAAGATTAAAAAAATATTAATAAAATATTCTATTGGTATATATATAAAAAATTCTATTAATATTAAAAATTACTTAAGGAAATAGTTGTGAAAAGCTACTATCAGAAAATATTTTACTAACAAGAAAATTAATAAATAATAACAGGATGATCAATATAAAATATTCCACCAATAATGTTCGATGGAAACAACAATAAATGCAAAAACATTTTGCCATTTTTTTGCATTAGAAGTCCATCAGTAAAATAAGTTCTTGATGGAATCAGTGATAAAAATAAAATCCCTGGAGAGGAATTAACTAACTATATTATTCTGTTTGTAAATAAATATTGATTTTGTTTATTATTCTAACAGAAAATTCCATCAGCAATTTTGTCATTGAGTTCCTAAACATTATGTAAATTTTACCAAAAGTTACAGAATGAGTGCAAACATCCCATTGGATTTACTTATAAAAATGGTAATGAAATTGCCTTTTTGTCTGTGATTTCATTGAAGATTGCAAATTTTTTTATTATTTTGTTTGTTATGATCCACAAGCTAACAATTATTTGCTCACGATTATAAATCCATCACCACAACAAAAAAAACATTTTAAAAAATTAACTTATAAAATTTTCATAATGAATAAATAATGTTAATGAATTAAACATACCTCTGGGTTTTCATAGTTAGAAGATTTTAAGTACCAAATTCATATAAATAGCACATAACAATGAGATAGATAAAACTCCATACAAAAAAATAAAAAAAATAAAAATGAACATTAAAAGATACCGTAGGAGGCCATTCAAATCCCAATTAAAAAATAATCAAATAAGTAATGTGAAGTGTGTGTGTTGGATACATCACATTGGAGCTGCTGAATGTGGAGGCGGAGGGAAGAAAAAAAATGTTGAACCATCTTAATTAAGCATAATACATCCTTTTTTTTTTTAAAGGTTTGTGCACTCATTTTCTCCATTTCAGTAGCCATTCGTTCTTGAACCTCTTCTGCATAATCTCATCAAATTCCTATAATAAATAGCTTAGGCTGAAATATGGTATGCCTAAGGTTAAAACAGCACGACCCATCCTTAATTTTTGAACCGAGTTGTTACCAATTTTGAGGCCTTACATAAACAAAAAATGCAAAAATACAAAAAAATTAAAAAAATATTGGAAGAAAAAAATATATAAGTAAAAAAAATATATTAGAATGCTCAGGAAATTACTAAATACTGGTTGGTTGATGAAAATCAAAATATACAAAATTAAAAAATTTAACATATATTTTTAACTGATAAAAATCTTATTAAATTAGACAGTCACAATTAAGTTTAAGGTAAAAACCCAATGCTTCACACTGACCCAATTGAAAGCTAAATCAGTAACATACAAAAGCTAAAAGCATCGGTGACGGGATCAACATCCTTCCAAGAGGACCACTCTAGTTGTTTAAAGATCTTATGCTTCATAACATACAGCTAAATAAAGCCCCTCAAAAGCATCTCCATCTGAATCTAAAAAATCCTCTAGTTAAGACAAAGTTTGCTAGAACACGACTTTTTTTCTTTTTAATTAGAAAAAAAGGGTCCTTGATTTATCCTAATTCGTAAGGAATCTCGAATTGAGTCTGATTTGGACGGTTATAAATAATCCCATTTAAAATCTAATCTTATTTGATAAAAAATTTTAGCCTGTATTTATTTACAAAACTGATTTTTTTGTATATGTAAATAGTAATATATATATGTGAATAGTATGGTGAACAATGTTGCATGTGAACAAAATAAATCAAACTCAACTATCTAGGTGGTAGCCAAGTGGTAAGGATTTGGGATCAAGGGGTTTGCTCCCTCTGTGGTTTTAGGTTCGAGTCCTTGGTTGCTCATATGATGGCCACTGGAGACTTACATGGTCGTTAACTTCAGGGCCCGTGAGATTAGTTGTGGTGCGCACAAGCTGGCCCGGACACCCACGTTAATCTAAAAAAAAAAAAAATCAAACTCTAATACCACTATTAAGATCTTAGCATGCAAAACATTAGTATACAACTCAAAAAAATATAATAAAATAAAAAATTAAACAGATAAAAATTTACATGGTTCATTTAAATTTGGTTATGTCCACAAACAAGTATAAATTTTTTTTACTATATAATGCAAGAATTATAATTACTCAGGAGAAAAAAATAAAAATCTTTCTATTAATAAAAATAAACTTTTAACATATTTTTTTACAAATACCTTATAATTTGTATAAGAGTTTTTTTTATTCACTCTACTTTTCTTTCACTTCTATTTATAGGCTGAGCAACCAATTAGTCTTCCTCCCAATTTTCTAAGTCAGGCACCGAATGCATTTATGATAGAAGCTTTCGATGCCTTTCATTTAAGTCAACAAATTAATGCAGCTGCATGTTAAACATGTAGCCTTATAATAATGAATTTGATTGTTAGATTAAGCTACGCTTTTGCTAGAAAATCCTAGAAACCATTTCTTTTATAGTGTTAAATTTCTGTAACCATCTTAGGCCAGTACAACATCCAAATTACGCTAAAAAGTTATTCTTTGAAATTAATTATATCCTTCAAGTTAATTTAGGATTTCTTTTCGAGATTAGTCTAGGATTTCTTTTCAAGTTTAGTCGAAGAAACTTCATGTTAACCTTTTGAATTTAATTTGTTATTGTTGTTATTGTCGGGGGCGTAGATAGATGTATTTTACATGGAAAATCAAAATTAATATAATAATATATATTATTAAAAATCTTATTTATTTAAATTAAAAAATAGAAAATAATAGAAAATTTTAAAATATTTTGCCGGCCCGAGTTCCTACTTACCTCCCCTGGTTCTGTCCCTGGTTGTTGTTGATTATGTCCATGATACTGTTGAATGTAATTTGGAGACGTTACCGATCTTAGATGGTTACAAAATTTAACTGCATAAGAAAATCTTATCTCAATTAAATTAAATTGTATGATAGAAAGCTATGTTTGATATCGTAAGATTACGCCTCTGACCAAAATACACGGGATGATATGGAATCTTAAATTTCTTGTTATATGGAGCAAAGGTCTGCTTCTCCCGCGTCAGGATGGCTAGTAAAAGGGCGATCTCACGCACCATTAACATCCCAGTAATCAAGGCTTTCTAAGGTAGATATGTCAACCTCTTGAAGCAGGTAATTGGGATAAGTTGCATAAAGCTTCCCGGAATGCCGGAAAATGTTGAGATTTTGATATTGTTTAGCCAGTGTATCAAGCCTCAACCACAGAGAGATTTTACATAAGTTTCAGGCCTGTTAAGTAGGAAGCAGCTTCACATTTATATAGAACCAAAATCATCAATTCCCCGTTAAAGATAGAAGAAGTCAAATATACCGCATTGATAAGATTTGATGCTAAAACAGCTCAAGAATCTCCTTCCCTGTTTGGCAGAAAAACTGGCCTGTCCCTTTCTTTCTCTATCTTGAAGGTTTCAAGATCATATCCTGAGGGATTAGTTAAAAATCTTCCTGACATGTTTTGATTATATCGAAAACTTTGACCATTTAACTCTCCCTCCGCCGGGCATATTAATTTGTTCATATGTTTTAAAAATACAATACAATACAATGGATATGCATATGTTATAAATTATTTAAAATGTTTTTCTAGATTTATTTATCACTATTTTTTTTTTCAAATGTTGTTATCTGAAGTGACAGTAAAATTAATTTTATTTACAAGTCTAAACCTACTGATCACTCCCATGTTACAAATTACCTGAGAAATCTAAATAAATTGAGAAAAAAAATTAATCCATGTACTCGTACAAAAATGTTTTTAAAAAAAAAAGAGAAGAAAAGGGAAAGGAATCCATATATACCATGTTCAATTATTCATAGATTTGGATTTGATGATTAATTGGAGATCAATTTATAAAGTGCACCACGTATGGTTTCATCAATGGAGATAATCTTCATAAAATCACATGAAAGATTCCTATCAATCACTCGTTATTCCATTATGAAACATGCAACGTTTCAATCAAGCTGAAAATAACAATTATATACATCAATAAACCAGAATAAAATCCGGAAGCCACTCAAATTTTTCTCCTTATCGTCCTTAGAATGTGCTTCAGAAGTCGAACTTTCTGACAACAAATTAAATGGTACCATTAATATTCTGATGCAGTCAAATTTCCCAACAAGATAGGCATAAAAGCTCCATGAAATCCATATGGGACTCTGCAGGGCAGTGTGATTTTGGCAACTGGCTCACTGGTGAACCTTCTGGTGTCGATTATATAAGCCTTTAGAAAAGTAAAACAAATACATTAGAGGTAATGACACATCCAATAATATGATCATAATGTTATGTGTGTGGACACAAATGGACGGTGGCAGCCATGGTAGGTGGCAGCCATGTTTGGTAGCAGCCATGGTTGGTGGCAGCCATGGTTGAAGTCATAGTCAAATGGTAGGTGCCTAACTTGCCCACCATTGTTGAACAATCATCTCCCTCCTCAGCTATAAATAAAAGATGTATTGATAGCTGAGATGCACCACGAGATAGAGAGAAACACAGAGAGAGAGCTAAGGGTGAGAGTTGAGTTGAGTTGAGAAGTTTTTCTCCTCCTCCTTGTTTTGTTGTTTGTATTACTCTTGAGCTTGATTAATACAAACCAGTAGCTCCGTGGAGTAGGCAAGTTGCCGAACCACGTAAATTTGTGTGTGTTTGAATGTTTGGATCCCCTAACAACTGGTATCAGAGCTTGTTCTTGAAAGTTCTTGAAAAAGAGGGTGTTTGATCCAAACTCAAAACTCAAAGTTCTCAAAACGTGTTTTTGAACATACCACCGTGAAGAGGACGACGAGAGGAATCCACTGGTGAAAACCCGACGAAAATCCGACGTCCTGCATGCCCGCACGCGCCTACACGCGCCACCACCAGGACTGCCCACGCGCACAGACGCGTCGTACGCGCGTCATGCGTCTTCCTCGCCAATTCCTGCAAATCGGCACTGCCACGTCAGCAGCCACGTCAGCCATCCAGCACAGTCAGCAGCCGCGCGCCCCTGCCACGTCAGCCGTCTGACCGGTCAACCAGCCACGTCATCCTGCCTCGTCAGCGACACGTCATCACCGCCACGTCAGCCGCAAATCTCCGCGGATCTGCCACGTCAGATTAGGTGGGCCCCACATTGCCTACGTGTCTGACACGTCATCCTGCCACGTCAGCATATCTGGGTTTTGATCCGGTGTGGCGCAGCGACTATTCCTCCTGCCACGTGGCTTCATCTGCAGCGTCCAGTTATCCCAAACTTTGATTGTTTAAATCGGAGCCATCCGAAGTCCGATTTAGGTGATCTCAGTGTCGTTTCCAGCATTTTTGGCCATTCCGGACACATCTGTAAGGAATTGAAAAATTTGATGGAACTGATTTTGGATATTGGAAAATGCAAATTAAAGATTATCTATATGGGAAGAAACTTCATCTTCCTCTGTTGGGGAGCAAGCCAGAAAACATGTCAGAAGAAGATTGGCAAATACTTGATAGACAAGTCTTGGGCATTATCCGGCTATCATTATCAAGAAGAGTTGCTCATAATGTTACAAAAGAGAAATCCACAGCAAGATTGATGGAAGCCTTGTCTGGGATGTATGAGAAGCCATCAGCAAATAACAAAGTGCACTTGATGAAGAAGCTGTTCAACCTGAAGATGACAGAAAGCACCTCTGTTACACAGCATCTTAATAATTTCAACACCATCACAAATCAATTGTCATCCGTTGAAATTGAATTTGATGATGAGATCCGAGCACTTATTTTACTAGCTTCACTTCCAAGCAGTTGGGAAGGTATGAGAACAGCCGTAAGCAACTCAGCTGGAAAATCCAAATTAAAGTATGATGATATCCGAGACCTGATTTTAGCTGAAGAAGTACGAAGAAAAGACTCGGGTGAAAGCTCAAGTTCAGGTTCAGCTTTCAACATCAACACTCGAGGAAGGAGACAAGACAGAGGCTTATCCAGAGGCAGATCAAAATCCAGGTACAGAAGCAAAAGCAAGTTTGGACCCAGGAAGCAGGTTGAATGTTGGAATTGTGGCAAACCTGGCCATTTTATGAGGAGTTGCACAAAACCAAAGAAACCTGAAGCTGATTCTGCAAATGCCACTACAGATGAGGTACAAGATGCTTTGATCCTTGCAGTACATAGTCCTATTGATGATTGGGTTCTTGATTCTGGAGCTTCATTTCACTGTACTCCACACCATGAAATGATGCAAAATTACACTGCTGGAAATTATGGGGTAGTCTATCTGGCCGATGGACAACCATTGGATATTGTGGGTATAGGAGATGTGCAAATCAAGACAATGAATGGATCTACATGGAACTTGCAAAATGTAAGGCATGTTCCTGAACTAAAGAAGAAGTTGATCTCGGTCGGACAACTTGATGATAGTGGCCATTCAATCCTTTTCTCTGGAGGAATGTGGAAGGTATCAAAGGGAGCAATGGTTTTGGCTCGTGGAAGGAAAACCGGCACCCTGTATATGACCACAAGATCAGCAGATATAATTGCCTCTACTGAAGCAGATAATCAGGCGCAACTATGGCATTGTAGACTCGGCCATATGAGTCAAAAGGGGATGAAGATACTTCAGTCAAAGGGAAAGCTGCCAGAGTTAAAAAATGTTGATCTAGACATTTGTGAAAGCTGTGTTCTCGGAAAACAGAAGAAGCTCAGTTTTTTAAAGGTTGGCAGGACCTTAAGACCAAGAAAACTAGAACTAGTGCACACAGATTTATGGGGACCAGCTCCAGTAGCATCTCTTGGCGGTTCTCGGTACTATGTCACTTTTATTGATGACTTTAGCAGAAAGGTATGGGTCTACTTTCTGAAAAATAAATCTGATGTGTTTGACACGTTCAAGAAATGGAAGGCTATGGTTGAGACTGAATCAGGTTTGAAGCTGAAATGCTTACGATCTGATAATGGAGGAGAATACATTGATGGAGGTTTCAAGGAGTATTGCGCTGTCAACGGTATCAGAATGGAAAAGACAGTTCCAGGCACACCACAACAGAATGGTATTGCTGAACGGATGAACCGGACCATCAATGAACGAGCTAGAAGCATGAGGTTGCATTCTGGGCTACCTCAAACATTCTGGGCTGATGCAGTTCATACTGCAGTTTACTTGATCAACCGTGGACCATCAGTACCTTTGGAGTTCAGACTGCCCGAGGAAGTCTGGAGAGGAAAAGAAGTACAGCTTGCTCACCTAAAAGTCTTTGGGTGTGTTTCCTATGTGCATGTAGACTCTGATGCTCGCAACAAGCTGGATGCCAAATCAAAGAAATGTTTCTTTATTGGCTATGGAGATGAAGAATTTGGATTTCGGTTCTGGGATGATCAAAACAGGAAGATTATCAGAAGCAGGAACGTGATCTTCAACGAGAAAGTTTTGTACAAAGACAAATCAAGTACAGAACTAGAGATAACTGATTCAGATACGAGTCCACAGAAATCTGAATTCATACAATTAGAAGGGCTTCCTGATGTTACCACTCAAGAGTCCATACAAGACAGTTCAAGCACTTCAGTACCCACCACTTCTACACAAGATAGTGCAGAGCCAAGTGAACCAGCTGTTCGCAGGTCTTCCAGGACTATAAAGCCTCCACAACGGTTCACACTTCTACTGAATTATATCTTGCTGACCGATGGTGGTGAACCATTAAATTATGAAGAATCCTTACAAGATGGAAACTCGAGCAAGTGGGAGTTAGCCATGAAGGACGAGATGGAGTCATTGCTGAAGAACAAGACTTGGGAGTTAACCAAACTGCCTGAAGGAAAGAAGGCCTTGCAAAACAAGTGGGTCTACAGAGTAAAGACCGAGCATGACGGATGCAAACGGTTCAAAGCAAGACTTGTTGTAAAAGGGTTTCAGCAAAAGAAGGGGATCGACTATTCTGAGATATTTTCTCCAGTTGTGAAGCTTACAACAATCAGAGTTGTTCTGGGGATAGTAGCTGCAGAAAATTTACATCTTGAACAATTAGATGTAAAAACAGCATTTCTTCATGGAGAATTGGAGGAAGACATTTACATGCAACAACCAGAGGGGTTTGCAATACCAGGAAAGGAGAGTCAAGTTTGCAAACTAAAGAAGAGTCTATATGGTTTGAAGCAAGCTCCAAGACAGTGGTACAAGAAGTTTGATAACTTCATGAGTAGTACAGGATACACAAAATGTCAGGCTGATCATTGTTGCTATGTCAAACATTTTGACAACTCCTATATCATTCTACTGCTATATGTGGATGATATGTTAATTGCAGGTTCCAGCATGGAAGAGATTGACAAGCTAAAGCAACAGTTTGAAATGAAGGATCTGGGAGCTGCTAAACAAATACTTGGCATGAGAATCATCAGAGACAAAGACAAAGGCATACTAAAGCTTTCACAGGCAGAGTATGTCAAGAAGGTTCTCAGCAGGTTTAGTATGGATAATGCTAAGCCAGTATGTACACCTCTGGGGAATCATTTCAAGCTCAGTAAAGACCAGTCACCAAAAACTGAGCTAGAACGTGGATACATGGACCAGATCCCATACGCCTCAGCTATCGGCTCCTTGATGTATGCCATGGTCTGTACTAGACCAGATATTGCCCATGCAGTGGGAGTTGTAAACCGATATATGAGCAATCCTGGAAAGCAGCATTGGGAGGCAGTGAAATGGGTCATGAGGTACTTAAAAGGCTCATCGGAGACATGTCTTATTTTCACAGCTGGCGGTTTGAAACTTGAAGGCTTTGTAGATGCTGATCTAGCAGGAGATGTTGATAGCAGAAAGAGTACTACAGGTTATATATACACTCTAGGAGGCACTGCTGTTTCTTGGAGTTCTACCTTGCAAAAGATAGTTGCTCTTTCAACGACAGAAGCTGAATATGTCGCAGTTTCAGAATCCGCAAAAGAGATAGTATGGCTACAGAGTTTCCTGCAAGAATTGGGCAAGATGCATGGAAAAGGTACTTTGTATAGTGACAGTCAGAGTGCAATCTTCCTTGCCAAGAATCCAGCATTTCACTCCAGAACAAAGCACATACAGATCAAATATCACTTCATCAGGCAATTGCTCGACGATGAACAACTGTTACTTGAAAAGATCTGTGGAAGCAAGAATCCAGCCGACATGTTAACCAAAGGAGTTACTCTCGATAAACTGAAGCTGTGTAAAGCTTCAGTGGGTCTTGAAGATTAAAAGACAGACCTAACACCATTTGTGTCCAAGTGGGAGATTGTTATGTGTGTGGACACAAATGGACGGTGGCAGCCATGGTAGGTGGCAGCCATGTTTGGTAGCAGCCATGGTTGGTGGCAGCCATGGTTGAAGTCATAGTCAAATGGTAGGTGCCTAACTTGCCCACCATTGTTGAACAATCATCTCCCTCCTCAGCTATAAATAAAAGATGTATTGATAGCTGAGATGCACCACGAGATAGAGAGAAACACAGAGAGAGAGCTAAGGGTGAGAGTTGAGTTGAGTTGAGAAGTTTTTCTCCTCCTCCTTGTTTTGTTGTTTGTATTACTCTTGAGCTTGATTAATACAAACCAGTAGCTCCGTGGAGTAGGCAAGTTGCCGAACCACGTAAATTTGTGTGTGTTTGAATGTTTGGATCCCCCTAACACATAACATACCAAACCGCAAGATTATTTGACTTACTTTAGACATGTTTGTTTCTTCATTGTGGACAAAAGTGATGATCCAACCATCATCTTCTTCATGACTTCCTGGTTTAGGAACAAAGGCAGCTCCAGTGCAGAAAGTATTCTGTTCAAATTTGTGGTAATCCACCTTTATTAGCTCTTCATATTGGCCATCTTTCTGGTTCACAGAAACAAAATAGTGTCAGCATGATTTTAAATGTGTTGGGAAAGAGGGTTACACACATAAGAGCTTAACTAACTACCGAATTGGTTTGATCAGTGTCTGGCTCTTCAAAGTGTAGTTTTGCTAGACCTCCATATTTAGCCATACCTGAAATGTTCAAGTGTTAGTAAGCTTATCATCAGGATATAGTAAATTTCTATAGAAAGAAAAATGTTATTTATAATCACCTGAGTCAGAGCTAGCACTGCAATCAATAACTTGGGTATAGCCATATTTATTTTTAACACCAGTAAAATTTCCATTGATCGATGGAAAATCCATAGAGAATTCAGTTCCTGTCAGGTATCTTTCCTTAACATCTCCAGTTTTCATATTTAATCTCCATTCGCAGCAACGACTAAAAAGCGATCCATCCTCTGAATCAGAACTATATTCATCAACTGATTCTACTTGCTTAAGCCTTCTTGAAAACCACTCAAATTTATCCACACCCATATCAGGTCCAGGTATGATTGAATCAAGAGCCCTACATGCCCTCACAACAACCTGTTCAACCACAGAATCGCATTTATGTGTCAGAAGTTGAAAGGTTAAAATCGAGTGCATGTTTCAAATAATATAAATATACGTCTTAATATGTGATGTTCTTATTACTTTACCTGATGACCATCCTCAAAACAATTAAGAAGGTGAAATGTGGAACTTGATTCCACCTGAAACCACTTGATTGAGTCTGCGTCGGCATACCGAGGCATGATTCCAATTCTTGCATATTCTGCCTTGTCATATTTTATTAACCTACATTTATGCACGTATATTGTGGTTCTTAAAAGATAATTTTCCAGCATTTTTCATGCATAGTACACGTGAAGTGCAGAAGGATATTTAGTACTCACGGGCCGCCTTTAAGCAGTCGTTGTATGTCTAGAATGAGTGGAAAATCCATTATCACATTGTACCTGCAAACACTAATTCATGTTGATCAATTAATGATGTCCACATTTTGAGGCTAATGAAAAGATACTGGACCTTAGTTTACCTCCGTGTAAGTCCCACGTCATGAGTAAGGGAGCACCTGTTGAATTTGAGATCAACTTTATGAACCAATCTTTTCCCATCAGCTGAAAATTTGTTTGGATACGTGCACAGAATATCAACAAGCTTTAAGAGATATTTCGTAGCTCAAAATTTATTTCAGTACTGTTCTAATTGAAATGCATATACCTGAAACTATTCCTAGTTGCATGAAAGGTTTTGTTGCATCCACCCCAATTATAACCAGCTCCCCGGTATCCGGGGCTCTCTGCAACATCAAGAAGAAGAAGAAGCCAATTCAGACAGAAAACAATACGGTATCTTTATAGTCTAAGGTATATGGAAGAACAGGAACCTTCGGATGGCTGGTAAAAGGCCGATCCCAAGCCCCATTGACATCCCAATTTCCTAAAGTTTCTAGTGTAAACATGTTAATTTCTTGAGGCATGTGATTTTCAGCAACGGAGTAGTACTTCCCTGAATGCTCAAAAACGTTGGTGTTGCTAAGGTACTTGTTAACTTTGCCAAATCGCAGCTGCATATCCATTTAGGAAGACACGATCAGTTTATAAACCATCGCCATAAAGCCCCCAACAATTCATTTTAGTCATATTTTCATTGGCGCCAGGGAACTTGATATTATATATATATATATGTGTTGCATAGATATGGCGACCCACCAAATTTAGCAAGTAAGCTGATAATATTGCTGGGGAGCTGCCTTCTATTGCAGGAAGAAAAGATGGCTTGTTTCTTTGCTTTTCTAACTCGAATGTTTCGGATTCGACATATTTGTTTTTGTAGGTGACTGTCCAGCTTCCATCTCTAGCTTTATCAAAATACAAAACATGAAGCATCCCTTCTCCTTCTACCCAAATGTGACTTGACCTTCCAAACATAGATACAGCTGATTTTAGTCCCCCAAAAAGAGGATTCGGTCCTGCAAATTTACATGTTAGAGTAAATTGTTATTTCATCCCTGTTTTTAATTAGTTAAATAATTAGTTTATCCCTATGATTTAGAAAAACCGAATATTGGGTCCCTTTATTGATATATTTTCATACCCATTTGTAATTTCGTCCGTTAATGTTTTTTCATGACAATTTTATTGTTTATTTTCTGAAACATCTTTCCATCCCACCTAATAAAGACAAGATTAGAAAGGGCAATTTAGAAATTTCAAAAAGGAATTTACAATCGACTTTAGTCAAGGTATTAACTTATTATTTTCAAACCCACAAGGAACAACTTACAAAATAAATAAAAACAAACCCAGGGATTAAACTATAATTCAATCTACAATCAACTTTGGTGATCGTAGCTGGCAGCCGCCCTGTTTTTTGAAAAAAGAAGTTATAGATGATAGGTCATGTGTCATATATATATATATATATATATATGACAATACGACGACTTCAAATGCTTTTTGGATGTTTATCAATGGCATCTACCAGTTAAAAGCAGATGAGATTCTTCTAAAACTTTGAGATTTGGTTGACATACTCCAACTTTTCTTGTATAAAACATAGTTATTATACTATAATATAATTTGTACTCGATGTGACGTGTGGGAGCTTATTGATCATAACGAATTTAATAGTTTAGGTGCCCAAAAAGAATAATTTCCCCCCACATTATCATCCGGCTTTGATTCGTCTGCTAAGTTTTATTAATATATCGGTTAGATTATAAGTTTATTTAACACCCATTATTTAAAAGAAACTTAATTACAATACATAAAAATTATTCAAAAACACTCTGAAAAAGTTCACGAACAAAAAAAGAAAAAAAATTACTTTAAATAGTGAAGTCATTTTCACAAGTTGTAAGAAAACGTCTTTTAATTAAATTATGTTTCGAAAGGGATGTATAAATTAAATAGTTAAAACTTGAAATGTCTTATTGAAGGTTTAGCTGCCAATCAAAGAAACAAAGAAAAGAAAAGGATCATAATATATATAAGTAATAATAATACACCTGATTTTTAACATTTATAGTTCAATCCTGTTTGAATTCTACGAGTCATTATTAATTAGATATAGCTAAAATACTTTGAGTGTTTGGAAGTCCAATAGTTTTTTATATTTTAACGTGTTTTGAAAATATATTTTATTTAAAAAAATATTAAATTATTTTTTTTCTCGAAAAGTACTTGACAACAATATTCCTAGGCCATTGCTTTCTTGATCTTGTTGGCATGTTTTCTTGTTTGGTCAAATATGGGCATTTATATCGTTATTATTATAAAAAATACCACACAAACAGCAAGTATCATTCATTGAAGCAATGAGATCTCTATATGCATGCATGTGATGCTAGTTTATGGATGTATTACACCAACCAAAATCCATATATATATATATATATATATATCGAATTTAAATCATGATGAGGATAACATAATGAAGAAAACGAACCATTTCTTACATAGACGCCCTCTGGGAAGTCGTTTGGAACTTTCCCTTCGATGTTGGTGACAAGAACAGTTTCCTTTAATTCATCAACTGGAGCAAAGTTACTCTGCAGGAGCGAGCATTAATTGAAACGAATAGTATATGAATTTCATTGTTTGGCAAAGTTTCTTAGCAATGGACACTCATTCACATTAATTAACGTACCTGAGAAGGGAGCAATGGTTGGTCAACAAACTCGAACATGGAATCGACAAAAACATCCAGTAATCTCAAGGAAGTGTTCTTGAAGAAAGCCTTGGAAACATCGATCCGCAAAGAAAGTTGTTCCAGCTCTCTCAAGAATGGCTGCTCATGCATGAATCATGAGAACAGTATTAATTAGTATCTAAAACGAGCTGAAATACCAGACCAATATATGATTCATGTCAAAAAGCTTGATTCTGGAAAAAGCTTCGCTCATTAGAGACAAAGAAAAACTTACCTTAAAAGTAGAAGAGAGTGAAGTTTTCAAACGATGAAAGTTGTCTGAAACAGAAGGCCTCTGTAGACAACAATTCACTCGAAAAGCCAAATGCGATGAAGATGCCATTTAAACCCCTTGTCGCTGCCGAACTCGAATTTCACAGCTTGACAAGTTATAATTACGTACAATAATGCATAGGATGAATGGGTTGAAATGGTGTCCAATCTACGGACCATAAATATTCGGTGGAGGGGGGGGGGTATTTAAGGGAGACTTGATAGTTCAACCTCAATTTTTTTTTTTGGTATTTCTCAATGCCATATAATTGTATAATTATAATAGAAAAAATATATAGAGTATGGTTTTTATTTTATCCCAAATTAACGCCATTGTGTAGCAAGATACAACACATTGCTATAGTGCTTTGTTTTTTTAACATCCTTAATATTCAAAGTCAGGGGACCGAGGTAAAAAAAGACATGGAAAATTGGTGACAATTTAAACGATGAAATGAAAAGTTCACTTTGGTCCTTCTACTTTTCAATTGATAAATTTTTAGTCCCTACAGTTTTTTTATATTAAATTTTAATATAAAATTTATTTTTTTTATTTTTCATTCCTTGTTTTGAGAGATATAAGACAAAATTGGTGGATTTCGATGGAAAAAAAAGAGAGTTTTAATTAACGCCAATTATAACCACAAAATGGATTATTCTTGGTGTTAATAAGTACCATTTGATTCAGGAAGTTTCACAAGAGTGTTTTTTGGCCTTTCCATCGTCCCATATGATACATGTAAACTTAAGAAATGTTTTGAATTTGGAATGATTGATTACAAATGTTTCGACTAATTTTACGGTTTTTTCAGATTATATATAAATGATATTTTATATGTATTTTGAATAAAAAATAAATTAAAAAATAATTGTTTAAGTATAAAATATTCATGCCTCGATTTCGCAACAACTTTGTGATCATAAATTTATGAATCGTAGATAACATCTCCTCTATTTTGTTTTTATTTAAATATATATATATATAAAACGAACAACACGACTTCCATCTTCCATTGTTTAATAAAATAAAAGTAATAGGCCTAGAATCCAAGCCAGGCCTCTTTTGGATGCGGCAGGAGCCCATGCCCACATGCTTGCCTAACTTGTTTCTTTTTCTTCTTCTTTTCTACATTTTACGCTTTAGTTTATTCAAATAGTTTGATTACAAAATAATTTTCATTTATTGGATATCATTGAAATTCTATTTTTTTAATAAAATCATAGCCTCGTTTTATATCAGTGAGAGCTCTTTTTTATACAGCTCTTCGTGATTAATTTTTAGATTTTATTTGATCATTAATTTTTTTTATTAAATATCGTTTGGTTTTTTCATTTTGTTTATGAAATTTTATAATAATATTTTTACAACAATAGCTGGCTTTTTATTATAGCCCTCCACAATTATTTTTATTCACAATAAAAAATCCTTAATTCATAATAAAATATTTTTTTACGACTCTATATATATATATAACTAATGATATATATATATATATACATAAAAACAAAATTTATCCAACTTGTACTGGAGCACTTGTCAATAGAATACTTATCTCTAAAGTGCTCAGGGTTTTAAAAGGTTTTTTTTCTTAATGATTATGAATGTATAGTGTGGGTTTTATTAGATTATTTGAGTTTAAAATATAATCTTTTCAAAAGATTTTTGCAATCTTCTAGGTTTTTGCAACAAATTTATTGACTATTTATGCGTGGTTCCTTAAATTAATCTTAAGGTTTTTATGGGGTGCATTTTTCTTATGCAAGTGTCCTTTATTTTGCATGATTGTATATTTTTGTATTTTTTTTTATTGTGAAGAGTATGAGAAGGTTTTACTTTGTGTTGATGATTTAATATATATTTTTTTCATATTTTTTTAGCATTGATTTTTCACTCATTTTTTTCATGTATTTTTTTAGATTAAGTTATTTGAATCTTATTGGTTCCTTCAATATTTTTATTTTGAGAATGTTACTTTAATCTTGTATTTGACTCTATTGATTTTTTTTCTCTATGCTATATGTATTTTCATTTGTGGTGATTGTTATGATTTTTTATTCAAAAAGTTTTCTTTAATAAGTATGTTAAATTAATAGTTGGTACCTTTTTAATTAAATTTTATTTTTTGGGTGTTTTCTTAATGTTAGTTTTATATTTTTAACTATTTATTTTAATCTGTTTTTTGTTGTGCTTGCATCGAATTTTTAACAATTAATTTTTTGAGATTGTCATTAAATTTAGAATTTTATTTTTCTATGTTTTATTTGTGCGCACGCTTTTATTTATGGTAGATTTATTTATTTGTTTTTATTTTGATTTTTTTGTGATATTTTATTTTTTTTACATATAATTAATTTTATTTTTTATTAGTCTATATCCAATTATATATTTATTATTTTTTTAGTATTTTTTTATCTTCTTTTTATAAGATTATTTTGTTATAAATGTATTGAAATTTATTACTCTTTATGTATTTGATTTTTTTATTTATTTTTGGTAAGAGAATATTATTTTTATTTCATAAATGTTTTAAAAGTACTTGTATTATATTTTTACATATTTTAGACGAATTTTTTTAATTAATGTCGATATATATGACTATTCTACATTAATTTGTATATAAATTTATATTTTAATTTCTTTATGGTGTGTGTATTATTCCCTCAGCTTTTTTTCAGTGTGTTTTTTTTTTTCCTATTGTAGTAATGAATAAAATATATATTTTCTATCCAAACACTATATATATTATAACACGTACATTAATTGTAACAGAATCATCCTATTCATAAATATACATGCCATTCCAATAATCTAATGGATTAATTATTGAATTTCAATTGAAAGGCTGCGAAGTTAAAACGGTCAGTAAAACACCTGTCATTGACTATACACACAAACTCCTCCTTCTGCGTTAACCATTTATTGAATCTCTATTCGAACACTAGTTGAGGGAGTTTTAATTTGATATATAGTAGCCCATTTCATAGTTAAATAGATTTGGTGTGTATGTTCTCGATCTATTTGATGTTTCTTGTGATTCCACATAGTACTTGCGAAGCTATAATATATATATATATCACAGGATATGAAATCTTTTGCTTCAAACCTTCAACAAAATATTTATTTATTATACAAAACTCTAACCCATGTAAGAAAATCATTATGCACACACTTATAAATTACTATTCACTTCAACAACAAATTAATACACGAATTCTCTATTTTAATTAATATATTACCGTCCTTGTATGCTTATTTCAGCATAATTTAGAATCCTAGTATGCTTATACTAGAAAAAGAATATCCTCATTTATAAATCCATTAAAATAAACCCGTTGATAAAACTATTTAATAATATAATACAGGTTAACCATTCAAGTATAAATTGAACTTCAAATTAATATCACAAGAAATAAAACACAACATTATATCTAGTTGCATCCCCAAAGTCATATTAATTATATTTCTTTATAATTCCACTCAATATCTCTTTATATGATTTCTTATAGTTTGATTAGTAAATTTTTTGAGGTATCACTGAGAATAACCTTACTTCCTCTCATGTAAATAATATTATTGTTGCTATCAATGATAACATCACTATAATAAAACAACAATGTCATATTAAAAGACATATTCAATAAAATAAAAATATTGAACGCTATCGTATAACAATAATAATCTCAGACACAAATCAATTATGCTATCGTATAACAATAATTACAATAATAATCTCAGACACAAATCAATTGTCTCTGACTCTGAAAAACAATTACATGAATTGACAAAATTTTGCAATTCTCCCGAATTCTCCTACAATTTATCAACAGTCACAAATTCATGTATGGAAATGCAAGTTAATATATATATATATATATATATATTAACTTGAATGTGCTGATTAGTTTGCATTCCATGTATTTTAATTAATTTTATATTTTTTAAAAATGATAAGTATATAAAATTTTAAGAAATTTAAAATTTATAAAACTCAAATTAATAATTTCTAAATAACAAAATTTAGTACCTATTCATTTAAATTATACTCTTCAAAATTAAAGAATGCTATTACAAGTAGCACAACTAGCCATATATAAGAATTTGCACTTTTTTATTAGTTGAGCTATTTCCTGTAACACAATATGTATATCACAATATATATTTATGTATATATATATATATACATATATATATTGTGATATAGATATTGTGTTACAGGAAATAGCTCAACTAATAAAAAAAGTGAAAATTCTCAAAATTTCTCTAGTTGCGCTATTTTCCAAAAATTTTTCTTCAATGAGTTAATTTGAAAAAATAAATCCCAATAAGGTCATTATCTGGATTAGACTGATGTAGCTGGGCCAGTAATAGTGTGCTCATATGAGCAGCTTAGGCTTTTTAAAATGCCTCCTGACGTTTCCGTTGGTCCATCAGAATGTTTTCTTTATTTTCTTGGATGCATTCGGAGTTACAAAACCATGGAATATGCTTTAGTTTTTAGAAAATATCCAATCTCTTAGGATTAAATTTTAATAACATTATAATATAAACACTCGCTAAAACGCAGATCTTTTAACTCTTCAAGAATATAATTAATATTTATTAACATATAGCTTCTTCCGGTGGCCAATCCTAACTAAAATGATGTGGAGTGGCCAAATCATTAATATAATATTATCTATTGGATTGGTAATGTTGCAATTACCATTAAAATTTAAATTATGAAAAAATAAATTTTTAAAATTTTATTTTTAAATATTTAAAAAATCATCACATTACAATTATTAAAAACTTAACTGGTCAATATATATTTTATGCTACAATACTAATTACAAAGACTATATATATATATATTATCATTCTTTAAACATTTTATTTAAGATATATTATATTATTAAAATAATTTTTAATTGCTAAGAGCTTGTTGAATTATATTACTACTTATAAATATATCTAATTATAACTCCCATAAATATTTGAATATAAATACTTCCAATTCTAATATGGTAAATATTAGATTACATAAAAAAAGCATAGTAATTTTGATTCTAACATCAGTAAAATTTAAATTG